CCCCCCTCTTCTGAACTATAACAAGATCCAGGTGCGCTCTTACACAGTCATGTCATGCTCAAACATACATACACACACACACACACACACACACACACACACACACACACACACACACACACACACACACACACACACCTCTGAGTGGCCCTAACTGGACTGTGGAGTTGCAGTAATGAGATATTTTGGTGGTTAAGTTGTTAAAAGTTCCTCTGGGCAGCAGTAGGACCACCATCTTAGTGCTTAGCTGCTGCTCATTTTCTGATCACACAATTCAAGTAGACTGCCCTGTTACACTACTTAAACACTGTGCATTCAAACACACATGTGTATACTTAAAAACACAAAATGTTGGCGGCCCTGCATGTAATCATCTCTGTCCCTGAGGCACTTTGGGCTGTATGCTGTTGGTCATGCTTTGACCCAGAAGTGCCGTCCACCATGCCGCTGTCTTTCATCACCATCTCCACGGTAACCACGCTTTAAGTCACCGTGACAATGAATTCCACCTGGGCCTGGGACACTTGCTTCCTTTACTCTAAGACCAACGTTCAATCACATCTCCCTATCTGCTCTACAGCCCTCCATAGCTCTTTCTAACTCCATGTCATATGTCTAATCGGCCTCCCTGCTTTGTCCCTCACTCAATTACTCACACACTCTCCATGAACCCCCTTTGTGTCGCCTGTTTTCATAGCCTTCTGATCTTCTGCATTATGAGATTCACTGCCAGATTGACCAGTCAGGGGGCCATGGGGCAGAAATAAGCTGGAGGCCCCCTGTTTAAACACTGTTTGCTCAATCTATGTGCCCACAAGTGCAGTGCAAACAGAAATATTAATTTGATTGGTAAAAATATGTTACTGTTTTTTTATTCTGAGTTTGCCGCCATACACTCATGTTATTTAATTACAGTTTTTACCGACAAATTGGCAATACAACTATGGAAGGTGGGTCCCCTAAAGATCTGGAGCTTGGCTGCCCTGTTGCCTGTATGTAAACAAAGAAAATATATTCATAAGGTTTGGGGTAATGGGAAATAGTACAGAATAAGGCCTACCATTAACATTTGACCTCGTGCTCACCATGCAATTGCACGCTATTGATACAAGTCTATCCAGAAAAAACGAAAGTTCTCTGCTGCCCTCATGTGGTTGCACTGAGGAGGAGCAGGCAGTGAGTATTGGTGTTTTTTAGAAAGTCAGGTTTGTTTTTATTATTGTATTCTCCCATCATGCATTAGATCGTTTTCTTAATTGAATAATATTGGTGGCCAAATCTACATATGAAACCTTTTTCTCTACATCCCAAGATATTTGAAGTTCTGTTAAAGTACTCCTTCATTTACCACCAGTATAACACTCACAGGAACAAGCAGCATTGTAACCAAGCTTTGTTATTTTGAATCCCCCACACTTTGGGGGCTACTGTTTTCTTCAGGGTTATTGAGAAATTGAATATATTCTTCATTCTATGGATTTAGGATGTATTGTTTTCACTTTAGAAGTTGTACTACATAGCCAATATATTTAATAGTAAAACATATATTTACAAACATAAATAAATAATAATTTAACAGCAAACATATTCCAGTTAACCAATCATACATGCATACTGTGGCCTATATAGTTTAGCAGCCAATAGGGTGTTTACACATGAACATACTGTATATGGGCATTATGTTGTATGACTCTGGTGTAGGGTAGCCTATTTGGTCATGTGACAATCCACCCACCTGACCACATGTCATACAATACTGCTTGCTCGGAAAATGAACAATAACAATATTGTTATAGCATTCATTTCAACAACTGCTGCTCACTTGAGTATGCAACAGGAAAACATCATCCACATCATCATTTCACAGTCAATCACATTAAACCCCTCAGAAGAATCTTCAATCTCCATCTATTGATAGATTACAAACATGTCTTTGACTGTTTTCTTATAGATCGACCATGGCTGTTTAGCCATTACACGGAAAGTGCAAGTCAGTTTTGTCCAGGTTTTCTCCCTCTAGCGGCCACTGAGATCTGGGCAGCAGTAACCGTCCATAGCCGCTTCCTCCTGTGGATCAGACGGAGGGAGAGAGAGGGGGGAGGAAGGACGCAGAATGGCGAACGTGCAGTGCTCCAAATGCACGGCCGAAAGAAGAGGGTTTCGGCGGGAACTTGATTCTTGGCGACACAAATTGATACACTGCGTTGGTATGATGAATTTGCAGTTGCATATTTTGTAAAAAATCAACCAGCGTCAAAGTGATTTCGCCCGGTAGCTGCTGGATCGCCACCCACAGCTATGTTAGATTGCTAGCTAGTGCTAGCTAAGCTAGTAGCCTGGCACTGTAGGTGGCCAGCGTTAGCCGTTAAGTTAAGCTGGCAGGCTAATATTTACCAGCTGGCTAGCCCGTCGAGTTTGGCTCCTTTTCTTTGTCCCTCTGAGCTAGCTTGATACCCACCGGTGCTAGCTCCGTCAAAGTGTGTTGTCTGACTTGGATGATACTGTACATGTAGCATTAAGGCATAACACATATTTTTCAATTAACTGATCGCCAAACCGTAAGCTTAATTCGTTTATTGACATAATGTTGGCTATGCTAATGTTCTGCTAACATGCTATGCTAACATTAACGTTGTTGATGTTATTTGGGGGAGGGGATGGTTGCTACGGTAGAGCTGCTCATGTCAGTGCAATAATAGAAAAGCACACATCACGGGGGTCTCGACTAACGGTTTTCCTCGCACCGTTTGCTTTTTTAAACACCGTATTTTATGCTTCAGAAACCGTTCACTTTAGGCTAGCTCACCCGAAGCTAGCTGGATTTCATCTGCTTTGTAGGCTAATGTTCAATCACAGTGACATCAAAATCATTATGCATGAACACCAATAAAAACATCAAAGTATGAATGTTAATACTATTTACGAATTTTGTTTATTGTTCTTTGGAGTTTACCAAGTTAATATTTAGACTCTATTCAAGTGTGTATGTGTTGCTGACAGTTGGGTATCGTAGTCCGCTTATCTGTCAGATTTGTTGCCGTCACACTGTTCCAGTAAAGTACACGGATAAAATGGGAGGAACACATATCACTCTAATGTTAGGCAACTCAAATATGCATAAGTTATTCGTATCAGTACTGAACGACTGTTCTGTTCATTTTGTCTTGCAGGGTTTGAAAGCATTCTGGAGGGAATCTATGGCCCACTGCTGCTGAAGGACCTCAATTTATTTGATGGTGGGTTTTTATATGTACATTTAAAAACGTCCTAACTTTTTGTAACCCTAGACATATTTTATATTTATTATCAAGTTTTAAGCTGACATTACTTAGACAGGAGTAAATGGTGCTTTCTTTGTGCAATATTTTCAGGATTTTTGAACATTCGGTTCTCGAGTGAATATTTATGGCAGTGTGACAAGTATGGTGTATTTAGTCAACCTGTAAATTATTAACAAAATGCCATATTATTTGTTACATTTAAGTTTCCCACTTAAATGTACCAAACTTAAATATATGAGATTAACCTTGTTAACTCGAGTAGTATGATATTTTTTCATTCATGATACATTCATAATTGGAATTGATCTATAACATCTGTAGAACTATGAAAATATAGTTTGACCCAAATCTGCCAGGCCAACATAATGTAATCACATCACTTTACATTATTCCATGTCTACTGCAGGCCAGCCGATGTTTGGCCTTTGAACATTTTTGGGAATCAAAAGTTAAAAAAGCAATAGGTTGTCTTTTTTTTAAATTGCAATAAATAGAAAATGCAGCTATATCCTAAAGTAAACCTTGCTACCTACTGCTACACTCTTGGTATCAAACAAGACTAAACACTACATGGCACCCTTATTGCTCCAGTTAAAGTTAATAAATGAAGGAGTACAATACTTTCTTTCAAGGGCATATGCCTTTTTAGAATTAATGAAAAAAATGTGTTTAGATTGATGAAACTGATTATATAACCAAGGTTCACACCCAGACACAATTATGTATAAGTTGCAAACAGGTAAACATCATATGCTACTCAGTAGTTATCATAATAATACTTCTTGTTTGGCACTTACAGTTTATAGAATAGAATATAAGCCTNAAAAGCAGTTCAGTCTTGTCAAGGTTGAGCTTGAGGTGATGAGCAGACATCCACCGAGAGATGTCTGCTAGGCAAGCAGAGATGCGTGCGACGACCTGGGTCTCTGAGCGGGGAAAGGACAGAATTAGTTGGGTGTCGTCAGCGTAGCAGTGGTATGAAAAACCATGCGGGCTAATGACAGACCCGAGCGAGTTTGTGTACAAGGAGAAGAGGAGGGGACCAAGAACAGAGCCCTGAGGGACCCCTGTAGTTAATTGACAAGGGTCGGACTCTGACCCTCTCCAAGTAACCCTGTAGGTGCGGTTGTTGTTCAGGAGTTGATCCCGCCCCTTCCCCGCCTCGACGTAAGCGTGATGTATGTGGTGCTTTTGCTCTAGCCGGACACTTTTTTGGTGCTTGAAACAAACCGGATTCCAGAGCTAAGAGGCTGCTCCGCTGCGGTGTGAACAGGAAAACCCGGTGCTTTTCAAGCTCCAGCTCCGAACCGGCCCTGAAACACCGTTGGTGTGAATGAGGTATATGTGGCTGCGTCCCTGCTTTTGACAAATAGGTGTGCGATTTGACATGCCAGATTGACTGAAAATTCTAAATATTGGTCATGTTGGTAGGATTGGGTAGGCATGGTGTTACTTGTTGGTACGTGGGCAAAAGGCAAATAAAATCAAATATGTACTCATCATTGCTTTTGAATTGTATCCAACAATATCTATTAAAATGTGTGTATATTTAATATCATAATAAATGATCTGGAACTTTTATTTAGAAAACTACAACCAATCCAATATTGTTACAATGCAGTCTTTCTCTTTGATTTGCAACAATGCTCATAACCGTCTACGGACTCATTCAAATCTAAATCGCACTCGTGGCATACATTTTTGTGATGATGATGTTTGGAAACAACCTCCTGTCAATCGAGTAAGCTGTTTGAAGTCTTTACGTATTAATGCCTGGTTATGTGTAATTGTGTCTTTCAGACTGCGAACCTGAAGAGTTGGATGAGTGGTCCCTAGAAACAAATTGCGCTCAATGTTCATTCTGCAACCTTCCCCTCGACAAACTCAGCAGTGTGAGTATTTTTCTAGTCAAGATAATATTAGTGTGTTTGTCTGTTGAACGTATTTATATGATATGGTTTAATATAAGATGAAGGAAAAATAAGATATACAGCAATCAGATAAGTAACCTTGTATCTTTTTCTTGTAGGATCATGCACCTGCAGCCACCTCGCCCCTCTCCTCCCCCTCTGATTACTCTCCCTGCCAGGCTCCAAACATCTCTGAGAGCAGCCAATCAGCAAACAGGTTTCTCCATGCTGTGTTTTACAAGAAAGGTAAGCCTTTTGATGCATGGCACACACATTTTAACTTCTGATACACTCATGCTCCTGTCAAAGGCGCACAGTAGTTATCTAGTTGCTTTCTTAAAGGTGGGGTAGGTAAGTTTGAGAAACTGGCTCGAGATACACTTTTTGTTATATTCTATGGAATGCTCTTAACATTCAATTAATGAATATCATAAGTGCTTTGACAAAAAATCCATAACAAAATGTCATCTGTGGAAGCCGTAGTACTGTAAAAAGCACGACCAATCATTTTAGCCGGCCCGGCTAAAATAACTGGATGGCCTACCTGCCTGTCAGCCTTCCATCTGTGCACAAACGTATCTCGTTCCCTCATTGGTCATGTGCGCGTTCGTGTGTGTTGGAGGAGGGGCTCTGTAAGGAAGTGGCAGATTTTTTCCGGCTGTGTATTTTCAAATTCTAGCGCACTCGAGCTGAAATTACTTACCCCACCTTTTAATAGATATAAAAGTCTAAAGAGAATTCAATGTCCTGTTCTTCATTAGATGTGGCACTGGGCTGCGATTTCAAAATCCCTCTGGTTGCCCAGGAGCTAATGAAGAAGATGATACATCAGTTTGCCTTGGAGTACGCATCCAAGTGCCTACAACACACCAGTACAAATGGTGCTACAACAAGGACCTCATCATCTCTGCCACAAACATCAGATGCCCCTCTGGACCTCACAGTGAGCCGAACTGGAAACGAGAAAGAAAGTGACCCAGGTAGTAGAGGTGTTTCAAATATTAGGAATTGAATGCCAATAAATGAATGTTTCCAGCCTGCAAAGTTTTAAGACTGTAACATCGATGTTTTCTTAAGGTACGAAACCTCTGTAACTCAAACCCTAATCAGTTAACATGATTTCTTCTTGTAACAGATGCCGTGCTCGACCTCTCCAACAGGAACTCTGCTTCGTCAACATCAATAAAAGGAAAAGCTTCAGGGTAAGAGTTTTTCTTTATATTTGAATTGCCTCTGGCTCGTACTTTTAGTGGTATTCCTCCTCGTGGAAAATGCAGAAGGAAACCCTTTCATTAATATTATTTTTTAAATGGGGGCTATTCCCTAATACAATAATTAAATTACAGGACCTAAGCATTTTTGTCCAAACCCAGTAGGACTTTGCATGTGAGGAATTCCAGATTTTTAACTGAGTTCAGCATTATAACCAGTAATTTCATAGTTGAACAGCAAGGCTCAAATTGAAAGGTTAGCATCAACACCGTGTTGTACTACTGTTGTTTTTAACAGCGCTACTCTCTGGCCTATTTGAGGATATCTGTTCATTGTTAGTTATTATGAGAGCTAGCTTGTGTCTTGTGTTTTAGTTCTATGGGGATGACTCTTTTATCTTTTGAGCGGTAACGTCACAGCAATGGCACTAATATTTGCGAACAGGATTGCACAATGAGGAGAACATTGCAGTACCTCATAACGATTTTACCTCCTTTTTTATGATGAGTTTGATTATTCAACCTTCAAGCATGTAGGACTCTCGCTGAAGGATATCACAAAACTACAAGGGTTGTGTGTGAGCGCCAAAGTAAGCCCAGCCATTCACAGACAGTCCCACCTGGACGTGAAGAGGCTTTGCCACACACACAAGACGTGTGTAAGAGACACACAGCAGCAGTGTGTGAGAACAGACATGAAACATAAGAGTCGCAGTGATGTTACCAACACAATACATAAATGAGTGGACCCCTCGCTCTGCACTCCCCCTGTCCCCTATGCCAAAATCAAACCCCCTCCATCTCCTCCATCCTGACCCTGCTGTTTGGTCCTCCATTCCCTAGGAGGCAGCGAAGGCAGAAGGAGGAGTACATTGAGAGGAGCTTGGAGCTGTCTGAGGGGTTGCTGTCCAAGGCCTTGAAGGACATACGTTCAGGAAGGCTGCAGGAGCAGCGGGCCGCATTGCTTTATGGGATTCCCCTTCGCACCCTGAAGCAAGGTCTAGACGGCTTGGCTGAAGGGAGGCTGGGGGTGCTTCATCAACTCGCACCAGGAAGCAGAGATTTCAGGGATGAAGTGACATCATACAATGTGATGTCATCAATGTTTGGCGGCGAAGCTCGTCTTGTTCTTCAGAAGGTGGCGGCGTGGGCGGAGCAGGCAGAAATTGGAGAAGCTGCAGAGGAGAATGGTGACTTTAGTTTCCCTTCATCCTCCCTCTCCTTTTATAAGCCAAGTGGTCTACACAAAACCCTCCCCAACTCTTTTCCCCAGCTCAGGGATGCTTTCCAGCCTCCACCAAGCCCCACTTCCAGTCTGGAGCAACCAACGTCTCTGCGTATTCCTCAGGTTCGCTCCATGGCTGACCAGAACAGGACGATCCCCGCTAAGAATGGCTGCTCGGCTGAAAACCTGCATCAACGTACCTCATCAATGGAGGGTACTGCCAGTTCATCGACAGCTACTGCTAGACCCTCATCTCTCTTCAAACTCAGACCCCCTTTCTTACCACATGGCTGTCCAGGCAGTGCCAACCAGTCACCTCATCGCCTTGGACCACGCGGGTCCTCACTGGATGACTCAGAAGAAGGGGGCAGGGATAAAGACAAGCAACCAAGAAAGAAGCGTGGAAGATACCGCCAGTACGACTTCGATCTGTTGGAGGAGGCCATCACTATGGTGATGGGAGGTCGCATGAGCGTGTCCAAGGCCCAGGGGATTTACGGGGTGCCCCATAGCACACTGGAGTACAAAGTCAAAGAGCGCACTGGAACTCTGAAGAACCCGCCCAAGAAGAAATCTGCCATATTTTGTTCATCCAATTCCAACTCGTCTGGTTCTGGAACCATGACGGGTTCCACTAACTCAGGGACTCTTGTCTCAGCTGCTGACGCAAAGATGTTCTAGAACACATAATGCCTCTAGAACTCCTCAACACTTGAACTCATCACCTCGGACAAGATACATGTTTTCTGGAGGCACTTGTTTAAACACAACACATGCCTTTACAAAGTATATGGATATCGATATTCAGGTCTTTTAACTATGTGTCTGTTATGTGACAGTCATACTTTTCGCTGTATTTCTAGCTTTTTCCTGGGCTTTGTTTAGTGGAGCGTTTATCAGGCCGTCGTGCAGCTTTGGTTCCTCGTAGCTTCATTTCTTTTCTATATCACTAAACCTAAAAGATCTTAAAAGATATGGCTTGTGTCAAATTTTCCATAAACTTTGTCTTAAACTTTAGTCAGGTATAACAGAAAATGTTCTGCATTTGTCCACTACTTATCATCCGGTGTGTTACAGGTGCCCTTTATATTTTGAAGACAAAGCCATTTTTGTAAACAAAATGTTGTAATGCACAGAGCTTGTGCATTACAACACTGTATTACTCACTGGCTACAATGATCAGTCAGTTGTTGGTTTTGGTCTTGTTTTTATGTCGATTGGATTCGTTTTTTTTATCAAGGAGAAAAACTGACAGTGATTGTTTTTCACTAGATTGCCCAGGATTAAGTATGATAAATACAGTTGTGGACCTCTGAGAGCTATCAAATAAAGTATGACTATCACGTTTGCTAGGTATTAGGTTATTCAGGTTTGATTCTATTCTTAAAGCTCCTTCTTAAAGGAGCGTTGATGATTGTCATTTACAGCTTTCTATCTCTCTCTGGGTATTTTACCTGGGCTACTGAAGTGACTTAGAGCCATTATAACAGATTAAAAACTCATTGCTGTTTTTAGAGACCTCTACAAACAGGGAGATTGTACAATATAAACTGCTGTGGTCGCTGCATCTTCACTGAGTTTTTGTTGAAGAGATTAGTTTATGAAAGCCATTTTGTGTCCTCATAATTCTCCTTTCTATTTGTGCAAACGAGTCTGAACATTGTATTGAGTGTAGTTGGAATGCAACTGTGCAGCATGTTGTCAATGTGCACTGGTAAGCTTGGGAAATGTATGTTATTCTGTATGTCTACCTTTTGTAAAATATGTTGTTTTGTCATCACATATATTTACTAATTCTGCTACTGTAGCTGTATTACTGTAAACCTCATTCATGACTGCTGCTTAAAAATTAACTCTACTGGATTGTTTCCCTGGCACAAAGAGGCGTAGCTACAACAAAGAAGCTTAATTTAACTTATTTCAATGCATTGTGTGTATAACTTACATGAGATTAGGTGCATGTATAGGCTTTAATGTTTTTGATGGTTGATTGTGTAGGCTACTGGAGGTTACAGTAGTTTTGACAATGACTTGATTCAGTGTAAGGCTTTCAGGCTTTTTTGTTTGTGTCTGGGGAAATGCTAAATGTTGCGTCTATGCTTGTGTCTGCCTCTGAGATGAGCATATTTCCATTAACAGTGCTACTACCAAAGCAGCAGTTCAGGGTTACCCACACAAAGCTGCTTTGATTTTATTTTGCTGCGATGTCAGTCTGCCTGTCTCTCTCTCTCCAACCTCGTTGCCACATATATATACCTCTGCATTTTATCTGCCTATATCCCAGTGTCAGGTTTCACGTCAAGGACTCTGTGATACGATACTGAATCTGCTGGGGTATGAGCTCTTGTTAGCTTACAAACACGTCTGAGCAGTTTGTCTCTCAAGGAACAACACTAGGGTGTAAATGTATTGCCATCAACAACATTTAAACTCCTTCAAGAAATTGTTTTAATTATTGTAGGGTTCTTCAGCCGTTTTGTTGTGAAATAATCGTTTTTAAATGGTTTTAATTCGACCCTGTGGCATACAGGAGATATGCCATGTTTTTAGCTTGCAGATAAACTTGGTGCAAGTTTTTGTCCTTGTTGGTTAAATTTGTATTTGTAATTTGAATGGTAATCGTACAAGTATTTAATTTTGTTAAGCCTTTTGGTCAGATTGATAGGCATTTCAATCGTTGTAACTTAGGCAACTATACAACTACTGATGTCTCCGCTCCTGAATGTCTCCGCTTTGTACAGTACACAATGCCTGTGTCTGGGGCCGCAGCATGATGTGTCTACTCTGGGAATTATCTGCTATTTTTATCAAACGGCCTGTTTTTTAACAAGCCTAAACACCTCTTAGAATTTACTAAGTAAGTAATCATTGTATATGTTTAATTACAGTTATTCTTAGAACAGACTGGTGCTTGTTTTCAACTTGAGATAAATTTGCATTTATTGTTTTTGACTACTGGCAAATCTTTTGAATGACAGATATCTTCTATGTATGCATAAATCAACTATTGCACTATGATTTATAAGCAGCATTTTTATTGTAGAAAACTTCTTTTGATGTTGCTGCATACTTATTTATGATTGTGCTTCAGAACTGTGATTTTACTAGCTTGATTGTTGTAGTAATTGATTTGTAATTGGGCACTTTGATGCAATGTGAAATGCGTATTTCTGCATGGACGCTTTAAATGTTAGCCCATATAATTTATTTGATCCTAAAAAGACACCCTTGACTATTGTGGTTGTTTAGTGCTTATGTTATTATTACATTATTTAAGTGATTTAAAAAAAAAAAACTCAACAGTCACATTACATAATGCAATACTCTTATACTGCGTCCAGTCCAAGCCCTGACAAGGACCGTACTTAAACAGCACTTGAAGTGTTGGAAATACTATCCAATTAAAAAACGGATGAACACTTAAAATAATATATTAAAATCAGTTGGTTAAGAAGTGAAATAAATCACTCACTGTACCTGATTTAAGTGTTAGTTGATTTGAACATTAGATTTTTTGTGCTGTTAGTTTTGTTGTTGGAAGTGCTGTTAAAAAAACTATTTGTTTAAGCGTTCTACAATCGTTCCTTCTGCTCTAGCAGAATGTTATCTTTTGCCTTCAGCAACTCATCAATAAAACAATTCTCTAATCAATCGCCTGTCATTATTTTTCTAAAAAAAGTGGTTTGTGGATCATCAACAGTTAACAAGGAAAATGGTTGTTTTACTTGCTGTTAAAATAAATTATTTTGCATGTCTGCTAGAAAAAGTCAGTTTGTTCAACCAGAACTTTGTAATCCAGTTGAGATCTTATTCACATTTAAGTGTTTGCGTATGCAGCAAAAGCCAAATGTGTTGGTGTAAACATGTTTTTATCTATTCTATAATACAGCAATAGGAAAAAGCATGCAAGAGTAATTAATAAGAGAACAATAACATTGCACATCATATGTATGCATGGAGACATTTGGAGTTGTAGACCTCTGAAAATGTTTGCGTCATTTAACAAGGTGCAAGATAACAGAACATTCACTAATGGAGCAAGTGGAAACCATCTACCAGGCATGATTAATTAACACAATATTTTAATATAAAAATGTGTCAGACACCTTGAGTACTTTTTTAATGTGTGTCATATTCAACTGTGCTTCGCTATGAGTAAAACTCCCTTCTTTTTATTTTTGTCTTTAGCTTGCTGTTGTCGTCATTAAAGGAAGAATTGGGAGATCTGGGACAGCGAGGGACTCAGCTCCGTCAGAGCTCTGCGTTAGGTGCTGTTCTCAGCTTGCTCTGCTCAGCACATCGTTCCTTACTCTACCACATCCTGAAGCTGGCATGCCAGGAAAAAATGATGTTGTTTCTTAATCACAGAGCTGAAGGTCAAACGGAATCTCACTCCTCTTACTGTGGTGTAAGCCAACAGGATATTGTTACCCCTAATTCAGTCCCATTTAGTGAATGTAAAGCCCATAACAGCAACTTATTCTGCCCCTCAATTGACTTTGATCATCAAGATCTTGGCAGCGCAATGTATCATACAGGAGACTCCACGTCCAAATGTAGCATCCATCACTTCTCTTTAACAGACTGTAAAAGTGACACTCCTCTGGGCTCAAGCTACAGCTGTGTGCAGAGGTGCAGGAGGCAAACCTACACCGCTATGTGCCCCAAGAGGCTGCACTGCATTTCCGGCCAAAGCCTGGCTGTAGGTCATATAAACAACCTAGTTTGTTCATTTACATCCTCTCCTTCGTTATCCCAATCCCCTTCAGTTTGCACCCCCTCCTCTAGTTTATGCCCTTCTTCATCGATTTGCTGTAACCAACACAACCCCCACTCTTGTCCCTGCTATTCAAACCCTGCCTGTCTGACGCAGGTCAGGAACTCAATAGAAAAAGGGATGGGAGATGGAGATCCTCCTTGTCCTGTCCTGAAGAGAGAGCAGAGCCCCTCTCCTCCTCCACTGTCCCCTATGCCCTCAGACATGGATACACAAACTGATGAAAAGCCACCCTCTCTTCTTCACCATAGACAAGAGAAGGAAACTGACCTAATTGTTAAAGATGACATGGTGAATGAACGGCAACAGGAAGCAGGTGTGGATACAGCTACAGAAATGGAGCGATACTGTAGCACCCCAAGCAGTATACATTCTGAGCAAAACCCAAGTGGGACTTCACTGCAAGATGTTGTGAATCGGTTCAGTGAGAAACTGGAGACAATCGGAACTATAGAGAAGGATATACCTCTGGTATTCACAGCCGTTAATATCTCTAAAAAGGAGCGGCCACAGTGTCCCTCGACAAGTCAGAACCTGCAGTTTCAGGCTGATGCCCATTTGACTGAAATTATCACAACAGTGCTTCACACAGGCAGTGCTAGTGACTACAATCTCAGTGAGCTGTTCAATCGCCATGACAGCAAAGAGCCCAAGTCACCTAACACTCGCTCACGACGACGCCAAGAAGTCCTTGCTGCTATAGCAACACCTGCTGATGATGCTTCAACCAGAAGGCAAACCTTAAAAATTAAACGAGAGCTTGCAGTGTTTGACCTGTCTTACAGTAGAAGGAAGGCGCGACAAGCAAAGAGGCAAAGATTGAATAATGGAAATGTTGCTGCAAATACATTACACACTTTATCAGATTCAAACCTAGTTAAAGAGGATTCTCAAAACGAAATGGAGCTAGGTGTTGAACCTGCAGAGAACCATAGTTTTAGGGAGGGACCACTGAACATTATCATTTCAAAAAGTGACGATGAAATAAAGGAGGAGATAAAAGCATATATAATAACAGAAGGAGTTCAGATCATTCAAGCAGAGGAGAAAGAAAGGGAAATATCCTTTGGGGGAAAATATCTTACCCACTCAGGCACGTTACCTACCCCTGAGCTACTGAGTACATTTGGCATACAAGGCTTGAAGGGGGACAGTGTACAGACAAAGAAGATGGCAATGACTGCAACCTCGGCAAAACGGTGCAGCAGGCCCGATGGTATGGGTACTGATGCTGTAAAGGAAATGAACAGTGATAACGAAGCCTCCTCAGGTCAAAGCACTAATGGTGACAATAGACGAGGCATAGGTAAAGATTACCATAATCCAAATGGAAATAGGCAGAAACGTCCGTCACACCACTCCAAGGACTCAGGGCGAACCAGGAGACATATAGTGCCTCCACAGCGTTTCTCCTCTTATGTCACAGAGCCCAGGAAGATGTTTTATGTTTCATGTTTCTCTGAAAACACCTCCAACCAGGAAACTGAAATGGACAATGTTTTGACATCTAGCACAGTAGATGCCTTATCCAAAGTTCCAGACGCTGAGGGCTCTAAACTGGAATCAATAAGGGAAGCCCTTTTGTCCTCATTTCAATCGCCAGAGAGAGATGAGTGTGAAACATCCTACACAGAATCAAAAGTTTTTTCCACAAATCAGATCACTCCACAGGTCCCTGTTGCTGCCAAAGCAAAGAGTCAAACAAAGCAAAGCATGGACAATGAAACAGATGGCAGCAACTCTGATGACAAGCTTTTTAGAAGGCTGCGGTCATCTCCAAAAAGAATGCAGTACTCAAAGACAGCTTCAAGTACTCTCCAAAACCCATCAAATATGGATGTCCCAATGAAGTCTGCTACCTGTTTTGAAAGCCCTCCCAACTCCCAAGTCCAGTACACTAGTCCAATAAAGCTTATGTTTGTATCACCAATAAAGGATAAGGAAGGGGTCAGATATAGTCTTAAATCTGCATATTCTGGTTCTAATGAACAGGAACCCTTTGACCCCTGTATAGTGTCTTCATGGTCAGGAACAAAAAGTAAGACAACTGAGTTGTGTACTTCACCAGTAAAGTCTCTTTCTTCAAGACCGAAATCTGCAACTTCTCCTGCAAAATCTGCTTCATCGACACTTAGGTCAGGTCCTTCACCAGCCAAGTCCTCTTCTTCACCCAAGTTAGCTTCTTTACCCCCGAAGTCGTCATCTTCCCCCAAGTCTGCTTCTTCACCATCCAAGTCAGCGTCTTCACCATCCAAGTCTGTTTCTTCACCATCCAAGTCTGGTTCTTCACCACTCAAGTCAGCGTCTTCACCATCCAAGTCTGGTTGTTCACCATCCAAGTCTGGTTCTTCACCACTCAAGTCCGCATCTTCGCCCAAGTCTGCTTCATCGTCACCTAAAATAGGTTCCAGACGATCAGGCGAAGGCACTCCGACTAAGCATGTGGATGTAGCTGAAAGCCAGAGATCACCAGGTGGCTCAATGTCTTTCCATGAAACGACTCCAAAAAGGCGTCCAGGCCGGCCAAAGAAGCTGGGGCCACAACTTGAGCAAAAGGCAAAGAGGCCAATCGGTCGACCACGCAAGGAGAAGGCTGTGGATTCAGTACTGGGGGAAAAAACAGTAAATGGAAAATCTTTTACAGCATACGAGGCTGAGGAAAATGTAAACAAGAACTTAAAAATAACAGTCGTGTTTGGCCGCTCTAGGAGAAACAAACGAACCGTGGCCGAGGGATTTGACCAGCTGCAAACAGAATTCCATGATGCTTGTCAAGCAGTTGGCCTTAAAAGTGATTTGAGTATTTTAGTGAACAACTCTGAGACCAATTCAAGTAGCATCAAAAGAGCATCATCAGAATTGTCAGATGAATTAAGTTTTGTCAGTCCTCTTAAAGAGTCTAGCCCTCAATCTAGCAGTACCATCATATGTCAGAAACGGGATGACTCTGCACCCTCAAGGAAACCAGGTAGACCTGCAAAAGTTAAAATCTCTGGAATCTCAGTCACAGTAACTACAGTGTCTCCTCGTCATCGTAAAATTCTGATAAATAAGGATACTCGGCAGTCTCCTGAAACACTAATTTCTAAGAAACTACTCCTACCAGAATTCAAATCTGCCAATGAGCCCCGGACAATCAGTCGACAGTCATCCAGCAAAATCAGTCAAATTGAAGAAGGGATTGAAATAGAGGATGAAAATAAAGACAAATTGCCAAAGCAGCCTGTTGCAGTGCGTCACTCAATGAGAGTGAGAAAGCCTTCAATCCACTTTCTGCACGCTGTTGCCACCTCCACCTTTAAATCATACAGCCGCAGCAATGCTCTGCTACGGCGCTCCAAACAACTTCTGCTAAACAAGGCCAGCAATGAAAGGAGACAGGGGGAGCAACCAAGTAGTGTGGAGACTTTAAGGGAGAGAAGACGGCCCTGTGAACAAGAGAAGAATCACATATCTCAGGACCTTGGCAGAGTGGCCGGAGTATCTGTAGATTCAATCTTTACCCCAAGGGAGACGCTAAGGTGGTGGAAACCATCAGCAGAAGAAAAGACTATGAGTGAGGAGCTTGCCAGGCGAATACGAGTCATATCTGACACTTGGGTCTCAAACACTGGGGAGAACCAAGTAAAAGAGACTGCTTTTAAATCGAAACAAGGCACGAGTTCATTTGCCAGGAGGTCCAAACATTCCTCTGTGGTACGAACCCTGTTTGACTGTCCTCCTGAAGAACCAAGGTCCTGTACTATGCAGCAGGTCTGTTCCTGGTTTATGAAAACCACAGAGACACAGTCCCTTTCTATCGTCAAGAAGGCAAGCTCACGTAATTCTTACGAACTGATGCATTTTCCTCGTACTATCAATAAAGAATGTGTTTTCACCAGTCCTCAGGCCCAGCGACTGCGCAAACACCTCAAGAAATTCGCCAAAACTGTGCCAAAAAGTCCTTTGCAACATCAACAAGCTCAAAGAAGATTGAGGAAGAGAAATGAGAAGATAAGGCGACAACTTTTTGCCACAGGTCGGCTCAATCAAAGAGCCCAATGGTGGAGAAGCAGATCATTTGGCAAATATCTGACCAATCTGTTTAGAGCAAAGATAAAGTTCCTAACCCGAAAAGAAAGGGAGAGGTGTCAAAAGAAGCACAGGAGTAAGAAAAACATAAATGTAGCTACACGTTCAAATGGACAGAAAGTAACTGGACTACTACCAAAACGTAAAGCATTACGTAGATCAGCAAGAGGTCAGTTATCTGACTGTTTGGCAAACGGTTCTGTTAACCAAACGCAGGAGCCTGCGGAGGTACCTAAAGAGCACAACATCTGCTCCAAAGCCTGGAGTCCTGAGACACTGAAGGAATGCAGAGTGTTTCTGAGGAAGATTAACTCTCCGGACAATGAATACACTGAGGAAGAGTGGGACTCCTGTACTGTGACACTGGATGATGGGTCACCTTCGGCATACCTCTTAGCAGGAAGGAAGAAAGAACTTGTAGGAGTTGTTAAAGCTGTGAAAACTGAAAGAAAAAGGAGTACCATCTCAAGAGAGCAAGCAGGTTCTGCACCGAAATCAGTCCAGGTGCAGGATGAGGTGCCAGATAGGAGGAGGAATGGCAAATACAAAAGTCCTTTGGTTGCTTCTACTGAACCACTGCAACCACCACCAGCGAAAATGTTGAGACAATCGCGAGTGAGAGGCCTTACCGGGCCGAGATGGTGCGACTTTGTTTTTGGTAACTACCTTGCTTATTTTATTAACATTTTATGTTCAATTTTGAGTTACTATATCAATTTTTCCCATTTCTCTTCTCTGACAGAAAGCTAATTGAAGCATGATGCCTCCTCCGACCTGGGGAAGGGACTGTTGCTTAACGTGGTGCCTTTGGATATTGAGCTGACCACAAGGACTGACCAATTCCGCTATGGTTCAGTCTTACACTCAGCATTTATGTAGCAGTCTAACTTAACAAAAGCTTGATGTTGCACTATTTTTATCTATGGATATGTACAGAAATGTTAATTTTTTTTATTGCATTTTTCTTTCTGAGCGCGTATAGTAGATCAAACCATTACGATAAAGAGAGTTTTTGGGGATATGTGCTTAAAACAGTGAGCCATGTCAGAGTAGCTGTAATTAAAGGAAAGGCTTGAGATCATGCCGATAGTGCCATCTCCCCCAAAACATACCTCATTATCAATGCCACCACTTATTCTAGACCAGGGGTTCTCAAACTTTTTGTTTATGCGGACCACTATTTATTATCAAGGATTTTCGCGGACAACCTCATATGCAAACCGTAAAAATAAGTAGGCCTACATATATAAACGTAGTGTTAAAACGCTGATATTTTATATAGTTTATATAATTATAGACAATCAAAAGTAAATTGAAGCCAATCTGATACTTTTGTGACCGGTGTCTGTCTGCGTTGTGTATGTTTTTCAAAGAGGATGGCGGACGCTATTTTAATTAGGTCATCCCAAACAATGCCACAAGTGCGCACGCGCGCAGTGCACTCTCAAAACGGGCAGACAGGTCTACAAAAACTACCGGTATGCTTAGTCCTACTTTAGTTACTGTACTGCAAAAAGCAGACGGCGCTGCGCTCAACACACACAGACTCAAAACCATGGACACACCGGCACATAATTAACATAAACAATGTATAGGCCTAAGTTGCATAAAGGCTTGAGCTACAGTATTGCAACTAAGCAGACAGCGCTCTCTCTCTCTCTCTCTCTCTCTCTCTCTCTCTCTCTCTCTCTCTCCCTCCCCCCCACACTTTCTAAATCTCAAAACAAACAAACAAAATGTCCAAAGTTGTCCTGAAATGTACTTATTAAATAAACAAAAAATATAGCCTACTTAGGGGTGGATCTAGAAAAATATTCATGGGGTGGCAGGAGATTTTGAGGGGTGGCATCCCCTGGCAGAAGTATATGCTGATTTAATTGCAGACATATCAATCAATGTTAACTTGGAAAGCCAAAATATTGATATTTTAACTGAATAACATTTGGTGACATTATTGTGGCACATCAGTAAAGCCTTAAATAGAAATATATAAGATGGCAGACATAATTGAATGCATTTTAACTGAACAATAACTGAATTAGTTTGTTTTACTCCTAGACCAGGGGTACCAAATCTATGCAGACTGTTGCAATAATTACATTAATTAACTGTCTCATCGATGTTTGTCTGAATTAATATGTAATATTAACAATCATATTATATCAGCTGTCAATCACTGTTATGATGCAGCGATTACCATGTTGTTCAGCAAAACGCCTCACAAACTGATTAAGATCCAAAGATTTAGTGTGTTTTGATTCAATGCTGAGTACAGCCAAACTTGACAGTCTCTTCTCTGTCATTGTTGACCGCAAATACCTCATTCCTTCCGTCCACAGTACTTGGGTCCGGATGCTTCTCGTTTGCTCCGTCCCGTTCAAATGAAATCGCCGCCAATCATATTTCCCCGCTCGCGCCAGGGCTGGGGGAGGGGTTACAAGGCTCGTGTCTTGTGGTGCATTCACTTGCACTCGGACATTAGAGATTTTCTCTCATAAATGTCCGATGAGCCCAACGACCACCACCCCACTGCCTGATATCAATAGAAAGCTAGGAATCTCCTCTTTCCAACAGTGTATACAACTNAGTCACGCATAGCCAAAACCGGAGAGCCCAACGACCACCACCCCACTGCCTGATATCAATAGAAAGCTAGGAATCTCCTCTTTCCAACAGTGTATACAACTGAAAATGTGTCTTCGGTTCAATGCGACTGATTTTGATAGAGCAAGTCACATATGAGGTGGTCCCCGAAAATCCTTGATAATAAAAAGTGGATTTTATTAAGCTGTTCTCCACGGACCACCTGCAGTACCCTCAGACCATAGTTTGAGAACCGCTGTTCTAGACAATGCCCTTATGAATGTACAGCCCTAAACCCCCCCCCCCCAAAATTAATTTAATATGTTTTTCTATTTATAGTCATCCTTACTTTGGCACTGTTAAAAATAAAATGCTAATTTAATATAATAAGTTTTTTAGATTTTGGTAAACGTATGTTGAAAACTAATTTTATTTTCCTAATCCGAGCCCTGTTTGCAATATATTTGTTGATGCTTCCGTCGCTGTTGTATTGCAAGCCAGTAGCCAAAATATAGTGTGAATGAAAAACGATTTTTATCTCTTTAAAGAAGCCCCATTTTTACCCCAATCATTCTGTAAATGGGCTCCAACTATGACATTGTGTATTTAACTACAGTAATTGGCGATCCACCTGTACTGAAACCAAATACTATGTCACTATTTCTGTGAGTTTATTTAAACAATATCTGCAAGTCTAAGCAACAAACGGCCATTAATCCCAACATACATGTTTTAGCTGACTAAATATACAGCCCCACACAATGTAGTCATATGTGAAGAGATTTAGAAGTGATGCCGTTTTAGAGGGAAAGAAGGTAGATTCTTATTCATTTGTTGGTTTTTGTGGGATCCGTCTTGTTTTATTCAGTTGTCTTTATGTGAATGTAATCTTGTTTTCACCCAAAGCAGATACTGTATGTTAGTGTCGGATCTACGCCTTGCACTATTTCATCTGAGATTATTAACCCCACTACACAGATTCCTCCCCGATATTTTGCACATCCCGTGTCCCACTGCCAAACCCTACTGTAAAACTAGAGGATCTATTTGGTGCAATACAAACCCAGATGATTTATCAATATGTAGTAATTATTTTATTGCTGACAGATGAATGGATGTACACAATTACCAATGGCCTGGGATGTTACTTCAGTTACATAGCCATGTAATGTGATTTTAGAGGATATTACATACTTTATTTTTTCTCCCACCTGCTTTGTTCTCCTCATGAAGCTGAAAAATAACAGATCCTTAATTGTTATAATAGCATTAATTGTTTATCATAAATGTACTAGCATTATTTACTGTTAAATGCAGGTGGAATATGTGTTGTTGTTGCGTTTTTTCTGTGTTTGCAGCAAGAGACGCCTACCTCCACTGGTGCTCAGCTAAGACTATTTTGCCTATCAACTGAGTGATAGGCATGGTCAGATTGATGATCTGTTAACACTAATCTTGGATCATTATAGTGTTAAGAGCGCAAGTAGATCCAAGATGTCTGGCTGTAGCTTAAACCTGTAGTGTGTGTGTTGTGTCTGACTATCCTTGTATGTGCGTCACTGTGGTTGCCCTCTCAACACGAGGGATGTGGGGTGGCCCAGTCTTGTGATCAGTGCTCTGTTGAAGAACCTGGTGCTAAACATCTGTTGTATATTTTCTTTATCATGTGTTTTTATACTGCCCATTACAGATGCAACAAAGAGGTGTCTGTGATCGGAAAAATAAAGAGTCTTTCTAAAAATAACCAGTGAGAAATATTATTGTACAGTTAAATGTTAAAAAATAAAGTAGAGTGGAGTGCACGACACCGGTACTGAGAACATTCAGGATTATCTAAGGAATTTGCTTTTGATCTTTTTCTTCATTGGCACAAAGCTGCCATTTCCCAACCTGAAGATTTCATTGTAAAATGAAATGGTTAAAAGATGGTGCGATTCAACAGAAAACATTATTTTTGTCTGGAAAGTGAAGCAAATCTATCAGCCCCTTGCACATTTCACCAGCATTTGACTAGTGCTAATTTCAAAAGCTGTATTTTCACCTCTTCATCGAAGGAGCTTGAAGTGCTCACATCTAGGGTTGTTACAGTTTTTGGCCCACATACATTATTTAAAAAAAGAAACCGACTTCATGGTAGAGACAGAAGCACCTGCAGTATGTTAATATGAAATTATTTGAAAGCTATTGTTCATGTAATGCTTAATTTAACATGCCATAGTGCTGATTACATATAAGCTCACATGCTTTAATTATATAATATTAAAGTATCCACATTTTCAGTTTTATATTATGTAATTATGGTCTCGTTTTTTTTAGTGTGAAACTGATTCTTGGTGTGACATAATCCACACAATGTGTTGGGATAATGAAAAGAGGACCAGTTTTATTGACATGTATTTCACTTTAATGATTAAAATGATAAATGTTGAAAATAAGAAACACACAGATTAAAAAGGAACTATGATAACATATAAAGAGGTTACAACATTGTAAAGGCTCTAAATCAGAGAAGGCTCAGTTACTTTCACTACATTTCACAAAAGAACGAGTACGATAATTATATGAACTTAAAGCTCTGTATATTAGACGGCTGTACTTGAACAACACTGAAACCGCACCATTTTATTTCCATCTTTGCATCAACTGCCTGTCAATTGGCCTCCTGATTGATGAGCGTGTTCAGGTCCAGCTTTGTTTTCTCCAGAGCTGCAGTCTTGGCCCTCCGGGAGGGTCGCACTTGAGGAACTGACTCTGGAACATTTTCGCCATCACTGTCCAAAGCAAAAAAAGAGCAGATGAATATGAGTTTTTGAAAATAAAGCGATGGTATCAAACAAGGTATAGGTGCCGACAGTTAATTGAACACTCACCTCTCCTCTGATGACTCTGCCCTCCTGCTCGGCTTCCTGCCTGATCTGGCTGCGCAGACTTTCCTCTGACCTACACACACACACACACACGAACGTTACCTAACAGTGCTGAGTCAACACCTTGACAAGAAGGTAGACAAGCAGAGCTCTAAAAATAAAGTGTCACTATGAACAACTGCAGTTTTAGATGAGTATACAGTACCTGCGGTTCCTCTTTTGGCTCTCTTGGCAGATTTAGATGGATCGTCTGCTGCGGCCTCTGGAAAGATAGACAGAAAACTGATGTTTTTCAGCTCCTCTGTGCTATTCTAGTCTTGACAGACACCGAATGGGATGTGCAGGCACATAAATCCACTTAGCAAGATTCTAGTAATGAGACATAATCCATTAACAGGAGGATTTGTCACATGTGTGTGTAGTAGTGTAAATGAAGTTAGGCACTGAGAAGGCAACATTTGTTACGGATGCTCAGCTAGATGTCAGGTTGTCTTTCCAACAGACTGTCACTGATTGCATGCGTACCGTCTGTGTTGACATCTAATGGTTGCAATGCGCTGGGGCTGAGGAGCTCTGCCTGTTCTTTAGAGTCCGCAAGCTGACCGATCATTTTCTCCAGACCACGGAGAGAGATACGATCCTTCACCTCCTGAAGGAAAGAGGAAACATGAGAAATCAGGCCTTTAGGGGTGGAAATATACATTAAACAGTAAAGGGGAGATTCACATGGTGAGCATCAGCATGCTACCTCACTGCTGTGTGTGTGTGTGTGTGTGTGTGTGTGTATGTGTGTGTGTGTGTGTGTACCTGTACGAGCTGCTGCAGAAGTGTCTGCAGGTCTTTCTTGACAGTTCCATCTCCGCTGAGCTCCAGGTTGCTTAGAGTCTTGGTATAGAGACGCACCTCAGGGGCCGTGGGATCTTTCAACATCTCCCCGCAAATACGGACCGCCAGGTAGTCATGGACAC